AAGAAGCATGGGGACTTTTTGGAGGAGGTGAGCAAGGAGAGGAGGTGAGCTACTTGCTATTCAGCCTCTCAGAGGAGCAAAATTCCACCCTGAATTTTGAATCTTGAGTTCTTTAGAGGGACAGAGATTTAGTTAAGTTCTTTTCATAGTTTTGAAAGAGTGCCTGAGCAAACAGAATCCCCTCCAGCTGTGGCTCTTGCAGCCTACCTGCTGCTGGTAGCAGTGGAGTTGCAGTTGCTGATTTGGACAACTGTGGCTTAAAAGGCAGCAACAACTGAAAAAAAAAAAAGGACAACATACAGGCCCAGAATATCTGGCAAACTTTTCAGTGAAGCAGAAAATTTGAAGGACTGTCTTGCCTTGAATTGGCCAAGTTCAGTAGTTGCTTTCCTCTGGGTCTCACAGAATATCTGGCAGACTCTTCTGTGAAGGAGGAATTTTGAAGGACTGTCCTGACTTGTCCTGACAGTCTTTTTCTTGTGTGTCCTGCATGTCCATTCTGCATAGCACACTGTCAGCAGTCAAAGGCAAGGGCAGTTTCTTTGCCCAGTGGCTAACCTTGCCACAATGAAAGCAAACTCCATACACGTGTTCTTGAAGCTGAGCTGCAGGTCCCCAAAGCAGCAAATGGTTGTCTAGCTGAACACCTTTCTAAAGAGGACACCCAGGGTGAGCACCATGTCAGCCTGAGTGTACCCCAGGGTGACCCTCTTCTGCTTCAGCTGCTTTGCAAAATGATCTATTTCTTCAGGGCCTTCATATCCTGTGACTCCTCAGGACTTGGTTCATAGCATTGGTGTGGACAGTACATGGATCATGAGAGGCCCTCTCCAAGTTGCTCTCCACTCTGACCCTGTATGGCCCTCAGGCTGCAAAGTCTCCAGGCCAACTTGGAGCATTAGGCCCACTCCAACCTGAGATCCACAGTATGCCACCCCTTCACAGAGCTCATATGGTAGCAGACATGGGGATGTCCCCAACACCTCTGAGCCTGGCCCAAGTGCTGGCCCAATTCCAGGCCCAGCTGGAGATCCTTGGGAACTTAGCCAGCTCCAAGGGTCCACCCAGCCTGGCTCCTGCCCTCCTGTTCCATCACCTCTACCTGGTGAGGGTGGAAAGACAAAGTCTGGCTATGGGGTGGAATGAGAATGCTTGTTAGGTATACCTTTGGAAATGCAATTTGCCGTACTCACCAGCAATAGTGTTTACCTACTTCTAGACCACACTTTGGGAGTTGAAATTGTCAGAATCTTCACAAGGCTCTGCCAAACATTCTGCCCATTATTGTTTATACCACTGGAACCTTCCCTCACTGCTACGCTCACACCAACTGTGTGATGACATCAGGAGACATTTCTCCACTTGGTTGCATACACAGCACTAAACTTCTGCAATGGTATCACAGACCTCCACATTTACAGTTTATGTTCTGGTTACCTCCAGCTTTAAAGGTCTAAATTTCCACCTTGTAATAGCAGCCCTGAAGGTAGTGTGTAGTAAGTAATCTCTTAGTAACTGCTGTGAGAACCTTTTTTTTCCCTGTCAAATGTAGTTAGTTTTTTTTTTTTGGGGGGGGGGCAGATATTTTTAAATCAAAGGATTCATTTTCTGAACCTTTCCCTTCAAGCAGATTGGCCATCTGTGTCAGAGTGAGACTTCCCTCCTGCCAATGGGATGAGATTCAGTCACCACCTATGTTTGGAATAAAAGACATCTTGGCCCTGGTGTGCTTGCTACCCTACTTTGGGTTTTGGTGCACCATTTTTACTAAAAGAATTGCCTTGCTGAGCTACTTGAACTTTGTGAATGTGTTTCTTTGTGAGATGCTGAGGTTATTCTTTGTTTCTACCAAGCGTCAGCAGTAAAATGGGAAATAATAGTTTCCACAGACATATGAGGAGGTATAGACATACAAACTAAACACCCATACACATTTTAAAAAAATCCTGATAAAGTATTTGCATGGTAGCTTTTACTCCTCAGCAAATAACAAGATAAAGTTGGAAGAATTTGGGAACAAGACCATGGGTCTCAGGGTCAGTTTTCCTGCTGTGAGTCATTATTTTCAAGGTTCAGTGACTCTAAAGACAGATGAGTCCCACCTCACCATGTTTACCTGGAACCTGGTTAGTTGCCTAATTACTCTGTGCCCCGGTGGCTGCCAATAAATGCAATGTGATCATTACTGGTTTTATTAATTTCTCCACTGTGAAATGAGGAGATTGCAGTAAACCAGTGCCTTCAAGCATACTTAGACCCTTAACTTTTAACAACTTTTTAAAATTTGTTTTGTAAATTACCATACCACATAATAGGCTTCCTTATGAGACTTTCATATATACTATGTTTTTATTAATCCTCTTCTCTAGTCCTCCCTCCCATACCCATCTTCTACTTCCATATCATGTGTATCCATCCTATTAATCCTCTTTTCTCCCCTTCTGGGGTCCTCCCTTAAGACCCCCTTTTCACCAGGTGGTGGCGGTGGCGGTGGCGGCAGCGGCACACACCTTTAATCCAGCACTCAGGAGGCAGAGGCAGGCAGATCTCTGTGAGTTCGAAGCCAGCCTGTCTACAGAGTGATTTCCAGGGCAGGTTCCAAAGCTACACAGAGAAACCCTGTCTCAAAACAAACAAACAAAGCCAACACCTTTTCCCTCTCATGATCCTCTGTAGAAAGTTATTGGTTTATGAATATGATCAGTTAGATTTCTTCTAGACTTGGACATCTATTTAAAATACAACTACTTCAACATTGGCTATGTGTACACGAAAACAAAAAATATAAGTGTTGTGCCCTGGGCAGGAGACCCCCAAAGAGAGCACCAGACACGAACTCACCGAAATGCAAAAGCAAGGATTATTGAAGCAGTTCAAGCCGCTCAGCAGGGGCCTCTGTCGAGCGCCCCGACACAGCAGAGGCTGGAGGATTTGCCCATCCCTCTGCAAGCTCAGTTTTTAAAGGCAAAATCCATAAGGTTACATCATTTAGGGGTGCTAGTATACGGGTACAATTCTGATTGGCTCAAGTTTTAAGGGCTTTCCAGAATTTCTGTGTTATCGTACTTTGTAGTTTTAACCTGTTGTTTGTCAAACTTTATAGACTACCTCCGGCATTGGGGCATTCTATGGTTAATCAATTGTTACCAGATAGTCCTTCAAACATCCTGACTTTGTACTTTGACCATCTCCGGCACTGGGGCTTTCTATGGTTAATCAGTTGCTACCAGATGGCTCTTCAGACATCCTGACTTTGTCCTGGGACCTATGTCAGCATCTCTGAGAATTTTGAAACTCAGGCCTGTTTCAAGCTGGGGTGAGGGGCTTGCTTGAAATGGGGGTGCTTTGGTTCTTCACAAAACGATTTCAAGTACTCTACACACACACACACACACAAAGTCAAAGGGACAGGACATGATGAAAGGAAACCAATAGTCTTATACTTAACTTGTGTCTCTTGGAGGAGAGCGATCCTTCACCATTGCTGATATCGCTTTCCTCTGGACTCTAAAAGCACTACACACTCCATGAGGAAAATCTCTGAAAAAAAGTTGAGCTTTTACTCCTCATCCATCTATTCTGGCTCTCACTCAGTGCTAGTGGATAGGATACAGATGAAAGTTAGTCCTTCCACTAGCTCCCAAACAAGTTTTATTTTATTTTATTTTATTTTAAGTAAATTTATTTTACAACATCATTTAGTTCAACGTAACAGCCACAGATTCCCCTGTTCTCCCACTCTCGCCCCCCTCCCCCTCCCCCC